GTCAAAACTGAAAAGGCAAATGCTGCTGATTCTGTCTAAAAATCATTTGGCACCATCATGGCTGCTTGTGACAAAAACTCACAAGCGGATTAACATGAAAGCTATCATTTGTATCGCTTTTCTCCATTGTGCCACAACTATGGCATGTTTAACAGTCTGCTGTAGTGTCACATACCTTGTCCTCCCCCTGTCCTTCAGTATTATATGCGATAAGATGCTCTTTAGCTTCAAACGGCATGGTCTTGAAATCTCCGACCGCTCCTGCGCCGCCACAAAGACAGAAGAGCAGCAGAAGCGGCACCACTACAAACACAGTCAACATCAGTCACCAGTGTTCATTCAGCACGGCATCTATTAACATCTTCCACAACCGCACACAATTCTGTCATATGGAGCCATGCAACAATAGCAAACAACAGCTAACAAAACAACTATACTAACATGTTCTACTTATATGCAATAGTGTATGTATACTTTGATGTCAAAATCCAGGGTCTTTACATGGAGGACCAGATGTAATCAGTATTTTGAGCTTATACTCAAAGCAAATAGTTTCAGATAGCATAGTGTCTAAGACTACAGCAAACATTTGATTTCTGTGGTCAAATGATGTTGTAAACAATGAAGGTAAATGACATATATTTTTGAAATTGAGAATATATTTAGTTTCAACCTTTTTCAAATGTATCTCAGGGGTAAGAAAATACATTTGCAATCTTACAGTAGCCTACATTTAGTCTAAATGCAAATGTGGACGGAATAGCCAACTAGAGATCAAAAAGAAGCAGAAAACCTTACAGCTGCATGAGTCGTGACTGTCACGTTAGCCTGATGGGACCAAACTCCCTTTGTGATTTTAAAACGTAAGACAGTACCCAGATTTGAAGACTACAGTAAGATTTAACTTAATGTTCTTTTTAGCAGCATCATATGACCCCTTTAACATATCATTTTGACACCTAATGGTACTCCATACATACCCTGGCCAAAAATGACCCGGATACGAAACGTAACATTTTTTAAATGGTTATATCTCTTAAAAAATAATTTTAAAAAATCTGAAAAATTAACTGATGAAAGTTTAATTCCATTACTAAAAACTAGCCATTTTATGGACATTTTTTACATCTCTTTTTCATAGACATCTCTTCTTATGTATCTCAAAATGCACCCAAATACGTTATGAGGGTTAAAGCTTTCTGCTCTGGTGCTGCGGTCAATCTTTTATCGCATGCTATGCAGAAGCACGCTATGTGCACTTGGCATCTGGAGTCTTCCATATGCATTTTGAAATAATAATATTAATGCTTAGTTGATTCATTTTTTTTTTTAATCGGCCTAATGTCCTAATTCAGATGGGCTACCTGTTTTTTTTTTTTTATGGTATATCAAAAAGTGTATATTTTTTAAATGTGATTGTTGGTACATTTTACCAGTTTTTACCATACTTTCAAAACAAAAATTAAAATAGGAAAAATATGCAATATGAAAATAATAATATAAAAAAAACAAGATTTGGTTTTTAAAAAGCCTTTTTCCAAAAGGTACATCTAGAAAAAAAGGGGGGTCGTCTTATAATCAGGGTCGTCTTATATTCGGGCCAATACGGTAATTACTTTTTTTTTGTGTCAATTGTGTTATGTTCACACGTGTTATAAACAAAAAACAGTTTTTCTTTAAATGTGAAATGTGAGTGTTTTTTAATGGCTTGAAAACAAATGGAGGGAAAAATACATTTTAAATGCTTTTAAAAAATATATTTATATTTTTTCAACTATATTAAAATATATTAAAGGGGTCATATGATGCGATTTCAAGTTGTCCTTTCTCTTTGGAGTGTTACAAGCTCTTGGTGCATAAAGAAGATCTGTAAAGTTGCAAAGACTAAAGTCTCAAATCCAAAGAGATATTCTTTATAAAAGTTAAGAGTCA